CTGGCGCTGCTGCTGCTGCTGCTGCCCGCTGGCTGCCCGGTGCGCGCGCAGAACGACACGGAGCCCATCGTGTTGGAGGGCAAGTGCCTGGTGGTGTGCGACTCCAGCCCGTCGGCCGATGGCGCAGTCACCTCCTCGCTCGGCATCTCCGTGCGCTCAGGCAGCGCCAAGGTGGCCTTCTCCGCCACGCGCAGCACCAACCACGAGCCGTCGGAGATGAGCAACCGCACCATGACCATCTATTTTGACCAGGTCAGCTCCGCCGCCCCCTGCCCTGCCAGGCCCACCCCCTTCCCGGACGCCCACTCTCAGTGGGTTCCTCTTCTTCACCACGTAGTCCATTGCGCTTGGGTTCTCTGGGCATGAGGCTGTCCAGAATCGGAAGAATGCTGTTTCACAGAAGCTGCTCCTGCTGTGTCTTTACTATTAAGGGGATAAAACCAATTTCTGTCATTGATGGAGGAGGATTTGGTCGCACCGGGGAGATGCGCATAAGCCATGAGGACATTGAAACTCCTCCAGCTACTTGGGTGGTTTCACCAGGCCCACTTCAGTTTGTTGAGAATCTCTCCTTCCACTCCTGTTGCAGTGACTCAGCCTACATTTTAACAGCTTCCTGGGGAGCTCTGGGAGTGTGTAGCCAGACCACTAATGGAGGGATCAGTGGTTGGAATCCACTGGCCGCTAAGGGAGAGAAAGATACAGCTTATGGTCTGGGAAACCTGACAGGGGGTTGCTATAGGTCGGGATCAGCTGGAAGGCAGTGCACTTGATCCCTATCTCCCCGTAAGGGTCACCCACTGTTCCCTCTAGTTCTTCTGGGATCTTTACGATTAGCCTACAATCTTGTTAAAATGTAGGGAACTTGTCAGTCTGTCTGGGGTGGAAATGTGACTTCTTATGAACCAATTGGAAATTCAGTTTTTTCCAAAAGTCTCAGCTCACAGTAGGGACTGGTACCTATTTATTGTCTCTCTGGTGAATGAAGAGGTGAGGTTTAGGGGCTTGGGAGTGTCTGTGTATGTCCAACAGGGACTGATCAAAGAGGACACACATCAGCACAGCGGGAGCGTGTTATTCTTGTGGGCTTGGTGTATGTATGGAAAATCCAGTGCCGGCTTTTAAGCCCTTCCCTCTTTTTTTTAAAAGTTAATATTATTATTAATTTTAATGAAAATTTACAGGCTTTGGATTTTCATTCATTCATTCATTCATTCATTCATTCATTCATTGTTGCACTTTTCTCCCTGCCCAGCCCTCCCCACAAGCCCTTTCCCTCCTCCCAGAGAATTCCAAGACTATGGGCGGAAAGGGCATGAGCCTTTGCACCCCGGGGTCAGGACTGTCTCCTCCTTGATGTATCTTTATTATGATGGTTCCCATGCTTGAAATGGCCAGTCGTGTCTGCACCGGCGTCTCCTGTAGAAGGGGGTTCCCTGGATCCCAGACAGCAGAGGAGTGTGTAGCACGTGTGGACTGTGTGACCATCCATGGCTGTGAGACCAGCGTCCCCGTTCTTCTAACTCTTGTTGCAGAGCCTGCATTTTTGTTTCTTTCTTTTTTGTCTTTTCTTTTTTTCTGTTTTGTTTTGTTTTTATCTCTTTGTTGCATTTGGTCTTATTTAAAAGATTTAAACACACCTGTTTGAAGCATGCCTAACTTGAGGGGCCAGAAATGAAGCAGGCTGTTGGGAAGCGACCACTACTAAGTCTACATAGTCTTTTATATCATTATTGTTACTGTCATCAATATCCACGTACCAGGGTCTTGGACAGGGGTCTGGCACCATCGGCAGGGGTTTCCTCAGGTGTCGGGATGACCCTGGGGGCTTGGGAGGGAAGGGGCTCCGTGGGCAGAGTCTGCGGTGTGTTAGGCCGCTCGTCTAGCAACTGTGCCTTTTCCAGAGGTTTGAATCCACCAATGGCTCAGAGGTTCTGAGAAAAGGAACTTTTCTTCCTGCTACGCTTTATAGCCTTTCAGAAGCCTGGTGGAGGGTCTTGTGGGTCAGCCTCGACGCGACAGCAGTGGGTTTGGTTTTGCGTCAGGAGGAGGGATCTGTTTCATGGCTGAGCTGACAGACCAAGTGACATGCCAGTTCCCAGGTTTCCCCCCTACTCCCTTGTGCACTGACAGGCAAACCCATCCAGGCCTGGCTGGCTTTTCTTTGTCCACAGCAGCAACTGGACATTACCAGTTTCCTGCATTTCAAGTTGAAGAGCTGAGGTGAAGGAAGAGGGCAGATCTGAGGGCAGCGTGGCCAGAGGAAGTCTGAGGGAAGAGCCTTGCAGGGACATAAAGGAAGCAGCATCCTGATGGGGCCTTTGGGAACAATGGAGCCCAAGGTGGTGTCACTGCACAGGTGACAGCACTAAAGTGGCTTCAGGCTGGGTTCAGGCCAGCAGCCGCATGGCTTCTAATGGCTGTTCTGTAATCCATTTTCAAGGGGAAAAACGAAAACAAAAATCCTGCCCACTGTGAGGTTTCCAGTGCAAGTTGACTGATAGCATGGCAGGTGGCAGGTGCAGGCTTCTGAGGACATTGCTGGTGATTTGGGAATGTAAGGACCCCGAGGGGCCGCTTTCTGATTTTAATCAGGTTGTTTATTTGCGTGGAAGAAGAGGAGACAAGACTTCACGTGGCCAGTCTCTGTCTTGAACCCTTGAGGGGACTGCATAATTTTGGGGACCCTCCACCCCTCAAGTTCTGCTCCTGGCATCCTGTACCTCCTCCCTTTTATGGGAGAAGAGCCATCTTCAGGGTGGGACGTTCATATCTGTGTGGACTCACTGTCTACTGGTCTGAGCTGTGAAGGTCTCAGCTCTGGGCTCCTTCAGGCGTGTTGACCTGACCCCGCACCTCCGCAGGGAAAGCAAGTCCATTGCTCCAAGTGAGGCAGAGAAAGGCAGCCGGGTTTAGCACCCCTGTCCGTTGCCCCTGACGTTGAACACCCTCTGCCAGACCACATGCTGGGCACTGGGAGCCCACTGTCCTCTCTTGGTCTAGTGACCAACTCAAACCAAACACTGCCTTCAAGCCACAGGGACTCGGGACTGGACCAGAACTGCCTCCGGGGGCGCCCAAAGCGCTGACCTTATCTGAGGCAGACCCCTACTCTCTATCACAGGGAGCAGCTGGACGCAGCCTTAGAGCCACCAAGCTTTCCATTAACACCCCAACGCGTACCTGGGCTGGGGCGTGCCTACATGGCCTCACGTCCTCCATTTCTAATGTGTCCCCTCTCTCTCCCCATCCAGCGTAAGGCTCTGTTGGAGGAAGCTTCTACCATCCCACACATCTTTGGAGCTGACTGAGCTAACACAGGCTCACCCCCTTTCCTCCTTCCTTACTCCCCCCATCGCTGCTTCTCCCCACAGAGGGAAAATATCCACTGTTCGAATGCATTTAAAAAAAAAAACAACAAACACCAAAACACAAAAACAAACCCTTAACACATCTTTGTTGACTACAGCCCATTAACGTGCCTTTGACATCTGACTGGTTGGGGGTGGGGGCATTATGGGCCAGCTTTGCCACTTCTATGCAGCTGGTGAAGCGGGGTCGTGGCCCTCCACGGGGTAGGGGGACAAGTTGAGGGGCTGGCCTGGTCCTTGCTTCACCCTCTTTCTCTCTCTGCAGGTCTTAGTCAATATTGGCAACCATTTTGATCTCGCCTCCAGCATATTCGTAGCTCCAAGAAAAGGCATCTATAGTTTCAGCTTCCACGTGGTCAAAGTGTACAACAGACAGACCATCCAGGTGGGAGCTCTGTGGGTGCCTCCGAGCCAGCTGGGGGTCCCCTGTTGGGGCTCTGGGGATGCAGGGGGAGGCTAGGGAGACAGTGGGGAGCTGGTGTGGACATGACTTTGTCCCCTGCCTTCCAGGTCAGTCTGATGCAGAACGGCTACCCGGTGATCTCTGCGTTTGCGGGGGACCAGGATGTCACCCGAGAGGCAGCCAGCAATGGCGTCCTTCTGCTCATGGAGCGAGAAGACAAAGTGCACCTCAAACTGGAGAGGGGCAACCTGATGGGGGGCTGGAAGTACTCCACCTTCTCTGGCTTCTTGGTCTTCCCCCTCTAAGCCTGGGGCCCCACGGAGCTGCGCTCTGGACCCCGCCTCCACCCTCCTCCGCCCCCACCTCTTGGGAAGGTGACACTCGTTCTGACTCCCCCAGATGGCCTCACAGGAAGGACATTGTCCACAGACCCTCTTGCATTTTGCTTGACTGTTGACAGTTCCCTGGGAACTGGCCTCTGGCTGAGACAACGGGGCCTGAAGGAGCAATGGAGTTCTCTCGCTGGAGCGGTCTGTCCGGGGATGGTAACAGCCACATTCAGATGTCACTGTTGGGACCGCAGGCCTTTCGTCTTTTGTCTGTGCTGTTTTGTCGTCCCAGAGCGAGGAGTTTGCTGGTCCAGGACAGCTGGAAGATAGCACCGAGGGCTTAAGGCCAGGGCCTGGCGGATGTCCAGCGACTGAGCCCTGGGACTCTGTCACTGCGTGTATGTCTGTCCAGATGATGGTGAAAGAGAATGGCTTCACATTAGTGCTGCGTCTCCCCTGGGAGGCTGGGAGGACCTGGGAGGGGCGGGGACTTTGTGGACTTGTCAAGAAGTGCTTTACCCAGAGACGCGATTTTGCACGATTGGACGACACTTTTGTTTTGTATTCTTTGTGTGGTTTTGGGTTTTCCCTCCCCTTTTTTTCCTCCAAAGCTTCCCTTTCCTTCCACACTCAGCCCTCACTCGTCTCTTGCTCTTCCTCTTGTGCTGGGGGCGGGGAGAAGATGGATGTTTCCTTCATGGATGAGACCAAACCAAACCAAACAGACCTGTAATGTTTTGTTTTGGATGAGACCAAACAAGCAAACAAAATGAACCTGCATATTGGAGATAAAGGGCCACGTAGCCCATCCCTTTGACTCTCAAAGGGTTTCTCGCAGATGCATTTCTCAGTCTAGAACCCTGGATCTTTGCCATCACAGGATGTTAAGAATTTGAGATTCTGGGGTGGGCTTGAGCAGCCTAAGGTGAATGGGAGTTTCAGTGACCATGTCACCAGCCTCGCTGCCCAGCACGGAGGGCGCCCTGTCCTTGTTGACCTGAGAGGCTCTGGTTTACCTGGATCCACCTAGCAGGGCCTCACAGACACAGAGACACAGAGGGGGCCTCACAGATGGCAGTGCCCTCTCCCCCTGGGGACTCCTGGCCTGCTCTTCAAGGACCAGGGCCTGCTGACACTCCCTGCAGGCACCTGGCCAGGTGCCACCTGAAATCACAGCTCATGGCACTTGAAGATTTTGGCAGAGGCACCTGCAAATGCCTCTTGTTTTGCCAACTTTGAATAACAGCATCGCTGAGGCATCACCGACAGTTGACGGGTCCAGGAGTGGTATGCTGAGGAACTGTCACCAATCCCAAAGCTATCAAAGATGAGACCTCAAACCGGATGTCAATGTGTCCTGTGTGTAACAATGTAACCAAAATATCGACGCTTAAAAGTCATCATTTACGATTCAGAATAAATGGGTTTGATGTCTGGCTTGCTCTCTTCCCTCTGCCTGGTCTCCTGACTCTCAGGCGTGTCTGTAAGTAAGGGTGAGGACTTAGGAGTGAAGCCAGCTGTAGTTCTTGCTGTGAAGCCGAGGACAGACAGGTGCAGGATAGAAACTCAGACACTGCCCTGCACTGATACCCTCTCATGGGGACCGGACTGTCCACCGGGTTTCTGAGGCTGTAAATCTACATGGGAGGAAACTGTCCCACCTTTTTCCGTCAGAGGAGATGGTGGACTTGAACCACCAGAGTTTAGATTGGCAGTGACACGTGATGTGTTACACCAGCAGGTGTACATTCGTGTGTGGGAGTGAGTGAGTGAGTGAGTGAGTGTGTGTGTGTGTGTGTGTGTGTGTGTGTGTGTATTTCCACCTGGATATACAACAGTTGCCTGGATTCCTACCTAGAACTGTATAGACATTAGTCTTTGTGTGAGTATTACAGGAAATTTTAGGGGTAAATTTTGGGGAAGAGAAGGTTTTGAGCTTGGCAGCTTTCTCTACTTCCCATATAATCTTTGGCTTGGTACAATTTCAAGTCCAATATTTCGATGAGAAGACACTGATCTCAAAGGATGGATCGTTTGAGGCGAGCATCAGATGGTCAGTAGGTGGGAAGACAGGAGGGTAGGCTTTCTAATCAGAAATGCAATGGGGTTTATATTCCTGAGTCAAGGTCTGTCTTGGCAAGGATCCCTGCACTACAGCTGAAGAGCGTAATACGATGCAGACTTGAATTTGAATTATAAGGTTGGCTGCGTTTTGTGACGTGGATGGTGGGAGCACTTTAGTGATCAAGAAGCCTGGGGGGGTTGCGGGAGGTCCAGTTCTGGATGTCACATATTAAGGTGCCAGCATAGACCAGAGGTTAGCTGATAGGTTTCCTGTCAGTGCTTTATTGCTCAGCCTTTTTCCTTCCGTCGTCTCAACACTTAGATGCCATTTGGAACAAACAGCCAACCTCGGACAATAGTGACCAACAACTGAGATATAATGAGTACATGTGATTTTTATTGCTTAATGAAAGATCACACAATTGTTTGTATTTGCAACTTTATTACCCAGGTTGTCATTTCATTATATTGTCTAATAAAAAGTAAGTTATTCAACTGATTAGTCTAAAAAAAAGTGCACTTCAGGAGCTTATTTTGTGTTAGGGGGAAAAGCCTTTTCACTGTGATTTATGTAGTCCTGTCTGTGTTGATAGCTTGTTGGAAGCCAATGCCAGAAACCACACTAGGAAGAAGGCGCAGGGTCCCTTCTGCAAGGCCCCTTCCTGGCCAGAGCAGCATCTGCCAAGCTTTTCCTCGGCTTAAGACTTGGCTCTCTGAGGGGGTGGAACTTCTGTGTGCAGTCTGGGTAGTAGATACATCAGATAGATCAAAATGTCAAAATAGCTTTCCTCTAAACAAAGTCAGTATTTCTGAGAGCTGGAAACTCGGTGGTTCTCTCTCTTAGCCTTGATTTCCTCATCTGTGAGGTGGGAGCCTGTACTGTCTTTCTCATAGAGTTGTTGTGAGGAGAAGTGATCTGAGAGCTGCCAGTCATAACATGCTGATAACATGGGGCTTGCTAGGTAGGAAAAGTGTTCTAGAAAAACAGGTTTGTCAGTGTGGACTGCTTAATGTGAGCAGATGAGTGGAGAAGGATGTTATATGAAAGCCGCTCAATATTCCTGATTAGCTTATTAAAACCAACACTAGAGTGAAATTTTATTTAATTTGCTTTTCAGAAATGATATAGAGTATGAACATATCAGATTCTACACATTTAATGTTAATTCTCAATTACATTATTTAAATACTTTACACGGCTTAAATTTACCTTTTTGTTTCAGTAAATAATATTGAAATTTATGATAACTTACATTTGTAATTTTTTTAGCACAAGTTTAAAAAAAGAAAAAAAAAGATACTATTATTTCAGAGGGAGTTCTGGTGGCCTGATGGTAAGAAGCTGCACTGCAATCCCAAAGACATGAGGTTCAAATCCACCAGCTGCTCTGCGGGAGAAGACTGGGCAATCAATCTCCTTCTGTGGGATTTACTGCCTTTGAAAATCTGCTAGACGATCATTTCCGCTAGGGTCAGTTCCAACTTGAGGACACACAACAACAACAACAACAACAAAAACAACAACAGTTATTTTGACATTGTAATAATACGTTGATGACGTTGATATGTGTTAATGATACTTAACAGACACAACTTTTTTTTCAGTAAAACAATTTGAAAATTATTTTTAATAAAAAATATTTGTACCTGTTTAGTATCATTTTTGTAAATGATTTTTTAAAGACCATTTTTTAGTATAAAATGTGTTCTAGATTTGAAACACAACCTAATGATTAACACTAGGTCCTAAGAAAGTGTTCTCACCATTTGTCAGTCTTGGACCTTTTAGGTCATAATTTTTTTATTTATGTATTAATGTGTAAAAGGAATTATGTATATTTTTATAATTTGTACTTTGGCTTCAAGTAGAAGTGATACAAAGTTACTATATATTTGCATAAAAATTCATGATGATAGATTGACATGTTAGATTTTTAAATCTTCAGATAAAAGATTATTACTTAATTATCTAAGTACCAGGAGATTTAGAAAATACATAGAAAGAAATGAGACTTTGCTAAATCTTAAGTTTACTTATAACTATTTCATGATATCTTGCAAAGGAAATGTCTGTGATCACTAGAAACCACTGCATGTGTACTTTTGTTGGCTTCCAAATACATGAATATAGACAGCTGATTTCTGGAGATGGTGAAATAAAAGAGACTAGCTTCATTCTTTTGAGATGCAGGCGCATATGGACAGAGCATTTGATGATTTTTCGTGTTAAACAAAACAAGCGCAGTCCAAGTTGCTTCGTGGTGCTTCAGAGAGAGTGAGAGGAGCAGGGAGCACAGTGGGCCTCTCGGCATCTCATGGATTCCCAGGGTCTTTAGAAGAGATCTGACGTTGCCGTAGGGCGACGTAGCTGTGTGTCCAATCATTCGTGTCTGTTCATCTACCACACAGCAAGCGTGTACTAATCTAGCTCATTCATGTTTGTGAATGAAAGGCTTTTACATTCTGTTTAAGGTGTTGTAAGTTGATGGTTGACCTCTGTGGGCAAGTTGAATTGAATTATCCCAACTGTCTAATGACTAGATGGTTGTGAGGACCAGGGGAAGTACAGTGGGAGGTGTGAAGCATCCTGATAACATGACACTTGTTTTGCGGAGAAGATGCTTCTGTGCACTCATCAAAACATTTTTAAGAAGCATAAGGTGAGAATGGCTCTAAATTACAAAGACTTTTATATATTAATTCACACCTTATTTTTGTAGGCATGTGCTTATTATCTGACTTCTTTCTGAAGCATGTTCTTACTATTGAAATAGGATATTACACAAGTATCTTTACATTGAAGCTGAAAATATCTCCCTTCTGAGCAGGTGCTTAGATTTCTTTCCCTTGCCTTTTAAAGATAAAACACCCAAATATTATGAAAGAAGTTGGAATACAGTTTCCGTCTGGATCTTATAATTTTACCTTTTTTAATTCCTTGAGTTTTTTCTCCTGTG